TTAAAGACTCTCAGAGCAGAAATTAAAGCCATGCGGCTTCGAAACTCCAAACAGGACGACCGCATCAAGACCCAAGCTGCTCAAATTCAAGAGCTAACCCGGTTACTCACCTTAGAGTACCAGTAAATGGCTAAGTCTGTTAAACATCCACGCACAGGTCGAGTTGAGCTCACTGGGCAGCCTGGTCCTATTGTCGCTTGGCGCCATGGACCTTCTGATTGGTGGTGGAGAGTGAATCGGGCCGGGGGCGCGGGGGCTTGCCCCCAGGCTGGTCTTGCAGGTGGTGGAGCTGGGACGTATCGCTGCTTTTCGGCTGGGACCTGTGCCTGTTTAAATAGGTACACAGGACATTGGTCGTCAAAACTGCGGTGTGCACCTCCGCAATTTGCGCACTTTAGAGCTGCACCAGGAGGGCAGGATATGATTTCGTGCGCCCCAGCACACCTGGAACATTTGAACTTCCGGTTGCAGTTTAATGACACATGCCCCCATCCTTGGAAACGGCGACATTGCGTAAGGGTTTTTCCATTGTGTCGTGTCTCCCACGAAACCCTTACGTCGCAAACGACCACAAGGCCCTAAATTTTGTTTTCATGCTAAACACGTTCTTGGTGTTAACAGATCTTTGGATTAAATCCTTTTTAATGACCTCTGGGTTAACATTACCCTCCAATCCCCTTAGGACAAAGGCGTGTGTCTTCTCGGTAGCAGGAGCGTACGTGTGGAACTGGCTGTTTTCGGTTTCTAGAGACCGTTTTACAGCCGCCCAGTCCATGATGCAGGAGCAGTACACTATAAGGCTAGCCTTAGTGTATTTTAGGGTAAAAGGTTTGCTGGTGATGGATTTTAAGCCCTTTACCAGCTCCACATGGCTGTTTGCTTTACCTGCAATCACAATTGACGGCGGCTTTTCCACATTCCGCTTCGTCTTAGCGGTCGCCGCTTTTCCAGCCAGTTCCTCATCATTTTCCGGCTCTTCAGCGCTTGCTGATTATAGAAGCCTCATGTGGGGTTACAAGCGCTCTCCATGAAATAGTTTTTCGAGGCACTATATATTCCTCGGAGTGGTCGCCTGATTGGTCCATAGCGATGGTTGGACCAATCGCAGTTGACTGATTTTCAGGCAGTTTGTTTTCGCACTGGCTGAGTGCGACTGCTTCACTTTTTTAGAATTATCTGTAAGCTTTTTCGGACTTACAGATTGAATTTTTCGTTTGTGTAACGCTCCGGTATCACTTCGTCTTGCATTAGTGTGGGAAGCCTTTACCTGGTTCACCACCAGTGACCACTTAAGGGGTTTGTTGATTGCATACGCAGCACTGAGCTCTGCCAAAATCACAGAGCAACGGTCACAATTCTGGTTCTTTTTGAGCAGATCGGACGAGAACCGGTATTATTCAACGTGGTATGGTCGTTGCCTAAAAGTAATTGCTCAAACGCGGGTTTTATACTTTCAGTATTTAGCAAAAGCTATTTCGCAATAATTGGCTGAAGGGTTGCAAAAAACTCACTTACTATTGGTCTTGGTCATATTGCTTATAGATCGATAGGGACCAATTCTTTCTTAACGCACAAAATCGCTCAAAACGGATTTTCAGTCCATGCTATAGAGTTCGTCCAGAGTAGTGTTGGGAAAAAAGTAGGTAACTAATCGGTATTCGAGTACTCGTTACTCATCAGTATCCGAAGTAACGAATACCGAACCAAGTTACCAAAGTAGTTCAAGTGTTCAGTTGAGTGTTCAAGTAATCAGTAATCGTTCTCGGAAAATCAAATCACCCATCCTAACCTTGACTCCAAAGCCCAATATTCTACTACTCGCACTCGCTCTGACTAACTGGTAATCAATACCAGTACCGAAATCCGGTACCTATGGAAACCGAGTACTAGAGGTGGGCGATTCGAATCTTTTTAGTGATTCGTATCACACATATTCGTATCAGGAAAAGATTCGTTCATTTCGTATCGATACAATCGACCGAAGCCGCCAACATTCGTATTGTACATAGTAACATAGTCGGCATTAGAGGTACCGGTACTAGTGGTGTGAGATTTGATTACTTTTGAATACTCGTACCGACTAGTTACTTTCTGATTCAATACTCGTTACTTCGGATCAGTTATTCGAGTACTCATTCTAGTCGTAAGTCTTACGAAAGTCAAAGACCGATATTGGTATTTTAGTAGTGCCCTTCGGATTTGTTACACGGACACTTTAGTCATACAAATCATATCCAACCCTTGAATTTATGGTTTTCGTAATAGATAGGTAGCTTTACGTCTAAGAGTAAATATATAGACCATTTTTATTCATTGATTTCCTATTGTACTCTCTATTGTTATTGTAGATATTGTTCGCAGACATTTGGAACCCCCACGGTTGTTAATGTTAATACGTACAGTATCTAAATAAATTGTATTTTTTAAACAATTTTTAAAAGCAAGTTATTTAAATCTGTGAAGCAAGATGCCACACATCCATAAATAAATTTTTGTACAGTTGTAATACAGTGCAACAATTATCAATTTTAAGTCTTTTTACAAATATGATGTTTTGAAATAAGTTACAAATATCATGTTACATTTTATATTATAATGTAAATGTAAAAATATAATTGAAGTTTACCATGCGGCAGCGTGCAACGCGTTTTTTAGTGATTAGAATCATTGACCGACGTTGAAAATCAAACGCGACCTTCGTTATCCATCCGTATCATTGTGGGTCCGGGTACTGATTACCAGTTAGTTTAGACAGTCTAAACGAGTACTCGGTCTGAACGAGTAGGTACTCGGTAGGTATAGGCATTCGGTCCGGGTATTGATTACCAGTTAGTCCAGTTACTCTGAACGAGTACGAGTAGTACAGTATTGGGGTTTGAAGTCGAAGGTTAGGATGGGTGACTTGATTTTTCGAGAACGATTACTGAATACGCTAAGTTTTTCTGTTTTGTTCATTGTTTCGAATTGAAATTGTTTATTATGTCTTGTGCTAAGCGACGGAAAATCACTTTTTTGTGGACTTTCTCTTCTGAATTAGATAATAATTTTGCAAAATGCAATTTATGCAAAGCAAACTTAACTTACAAAACAAGTACGTCGAATTTGAAACGGTGCATGAAATGAAACATCTCACAATATCAATAAATTCTGAAAATTTTCTCGAAGAGTAGTGGTGTAATATTTTTGGACCTATTTTCACTCAAATAAAGTTTTGTTCAGATCAAAAATTAAAATTAAATATAGCTTGTTAACAAAGAATTAAGAGCTAAGAGTTTTGTGTAAATCAATGGTTTTTTTATTTTAATTTTTTTCCAGAATGTTTGTAGAACTTTTAGAGTACATGGGTTTACAAAATGGGCACCACTTGTTATGATATATCAAAGGCATTCGATACTATCTCTCATGAAGTTCTCTTGAAGAATCTGAGGTTTTATGGCATGGACAGGGACAGTGTTGCCCTAATCCAGAGTTACCTCTCTGATAGAAGACGGACAACATCAGCCAACAACCGGATGTCAGGACATATAATCATGAAGCATGGGGTCCCACAAGGGTCTATACTGGGGCCTCAGCTCTTTATCATCTACATCAATGATTTACCATCGGCACTCACTGATGCCAAAGTGATCATATTTGCTGATGACAACATAGCCACAGACGTTGGTGTGGATATTGGCACCCTGTGTGATAGGATGGATGATGGTAGAGTACAGCTTGGGGATTGGCTTCTGGCAAATAGTCTCAGCCTTAATGTTGAAAAGACTGTTAGAGTAGTTTTTTGTCTATATACGCATGACTGCAAAAACCCCGAATCAGGCAGATTCCTGGGAGTCTTCCTGGATCCAACCATGAGGTTTGACAAACATGTAGACACTATGTGCTCCAGGGTAACAAAATACATTTATCTTCTGAGGCAACTGAGCATGGTCGTAGCTTTTGAGGTGTGTTTGATGGTTTTCCATGCCCTTATACAGTCCGCTTGCTGTTATGCGATATCTGTGTGGGGTCATTCACCTCACATGGGTCGTGTGTTTGCAATCCAGAGGAGAGGGGTTAAAGTCCTTGCGGGTCTTAGCTATCGGGATGATGTGAGGAATGCTTTTAGGGAGCTGAGTATCATGACCGTTCCATCACGATACATTCTGGAAAGCTTGTTATGGGCTAAAAATTCTGAATGCTACCAGACATTTCTAGCAATCATGAACATAATACACATGGAAAAAATAAACTGAATGTGCAGTTTCTCCGACTACATAGGACATGCAACTGTACGTGTGTACGTGTGTCTGAGTGTAAGGGATCTGAGCCATAGCCTATTCAAACCCCACATTAAGAGTTACCTGATGCGTGGTACATTCTACACCTGATGCGTGGTTCAAGATTTCCTCAATTACCAATTGGTTTTAAACCCTGACACAGTGTAGTGCTGGGTTGTTTGTCGCTCCAATCGTATTTCGTCACCGGTTTGTCACTTTGTTTCATTGATTGTATCTTGTTTTATATGCTGACGTATTTAAAAGTTGAACCTTTTCGCATGAATAAGGGAATTTGAAAAATGTGTAGACAGTCGCTAGTTGCAGAGACTGTTATTTGTTCGTGTCCTTAAAATCATTTGTATTTTGTGTATAAAATATTATGTTTTGTTTACCTAAATAAGGTTATTTATTTAAAAATTGCCCATCACCTTATCACGCTGCTATATCACGAAAACGCAACCACAATTTAAATCACATTCACAGTTAAAAAGAAATCACATTCACAGTTATAAGAGTGATTTTAAAATCACGCTTGAGCTCATATCTAGTTCTCGCTGTGTGTCGTTATTGGGTTGACTTAATTTGAGTCCGATTTTCGAAGGTTTTTAGGCGTGCATTTGCCTTACTCAGGAATTGCATTTTTTATTCACTGTTTCCGCGTTTTTTACATTTTAGAAGCGGTAGACTTTTCCTGCTCGCTTCTGGAACTTAATTTTTTATGATTTAAGACCGGATAAAAAGCACAAAAGAATGGGAAAAAAGGGTCTAAAAAAGCATGAAAATATTTTTTTAAAGCACAAAAAAAATTAAAAAAGTGCTTAAAAAACATAAAAATATTTTTTTTAAACACAAATATTTAAAAAAAAGCATTTGAAAAAAAATTAAAACAAGTTGTAATGATAACATAATGTTATTTTTATTTATTGTTTTACATTTAACACGTTATATTTATTTTCAATATACTTATTTACTATTAACAATGCTTAAAAGAAAATATAACTAAATGTTTCTCCAAATTTTCCGTAGTAAAATTATGTCTCCTGTCTGATAAAATGCTTTTGTTTGCAGAAAAACTTCGTTCTACATCTACACTGGTTATAGGTGCATATTTAAATTTTGTCATAATTGCTGGATCTATAAACATTCAAAATAGTAGATACTTTTTGCAATGATTGGAACCCTGTTTTCTTTGAAAAAGTTTGAACTAATTTTTCTTTTATTATTTGACCGATAGATCCTGGAATACTATTTTATTGGAAAAAAAAGGCGTTTTTCGGGCTTGTCTGGCAGACTCACCGCGCACGAATCCAACGCTATTTCCGCGTGTTGCGTGTCCTTTTTGAGCAGCTGCGTGAGCGACCGGCGCTACGTACATTCGGGAACCGTTCCTCTATCAAAAGGGTGCCAAATTTGAAAATTTTAAATCCGAATCTAACAATTTGCTGCAGCTTCAAAATTTTTATTAACCTTTATGGATTCCACTAACGGTAGTGCTGTTTTTCCAAAAATTGAATGCTTTCACTTACAAATTTAAAATGAGTTTTGATAAAAGCCAAATTATAAGCAAGTTCGGGCACTTCTAAAACTTCCTGACATTCTTGAATAGCTTTGCTTTCTGTACCTTGAAAGTATCAAGCTGGCATAGTACAGGGCAGCATCTAGCCAAGTTCCCCATCGTGTTAAAATAGGTTTTGAAGGTTAAGGAATATCAGGACATCTTTCCTTAAAAAGTTGCACTCTCAATGGAGCTTTTATAAATATTTTTTTGCCATTTTTTATTAATTTATTGACCAACGGATACTGCAATCTTATAGTTTCAGCTATGCGGTTAAGCCCATGTGCTAAGCAGGTGCAATGGATTAAATTATAGTATAAAATTTTAAGATTTGATGCAGCTTTAATCATGTATGCTGCTGCGTCGGAAAGCATCAATACAACTTTTTCATTTGGAACTACCTCGGGCAAAAAGACTTGTTTAACTCTTCGTGTACAAATCTAGAAATAGTATTACTGTTCGTTTTTGTTAGTTTCTTCGAACTTATTAAAAATCTTTCTGTGACAATATCTTTATTCAAGATCCTATAATCAAGTTAGCTATATATCTCCCACATGTGTCAGTTGTTTCATCTACAGTAAACCATATATAATATATTGCTGCATTGTTTCATCATAAACTGGGGTAACATAATTTTTACGAAGAGTACTCTCATCTGGAATGCTTTTTTTTACAATATTTTTCTAGAAATTGTCTAAACGAACTACTTTGTAATTTATT